AGTTACTGACTTCAGTATTCTTTATCAGTTAAAAGAGCAAATTTAATTTTTAAAAAATTTCTGGCACATTTGCGATTCAATTTTTTTAATATTCTCCTACGGAGAAATAAAAGATACATAGTCATTTTCCACGTATCCCTCTCATTTCGCTTGTCTCAGGCAATAAAATTTGCAGATTTTTTCCGGTTTTATCATGGGGCTAAGTAAGGAAGAAGAAAATTTTAGGCAAATGTTAAAAACCGTTTTCATAGATAAGAATCTCAACCGTGACTGGAGGAGACCAGGGCCCGAGCCAGGGCAACCCAGGGCCAGCTGGCACCTATAGAAAGGGTCACAGCTGGTCGACCGCGTCCCCGTCAGAGGCTAGAATCATGCCTTTCTCCTTTTCTCATGGAAAAGGGAAATCGTATGCTGTACAAATGCAGTTTGAAACTCAAGACTGATTTTCATCCTTTGCTTTTGCACGGGAAAGTGAAGATGAAAATCAACGGTAAAAAAAACAACAACAACAAAACGAAATAATAGGCGGATGTATTTCCTTGTTGTTTTCTAAGCCCAGGGACGGTTTGTGGAGCTGCTGAGTGGAGTAGGGTCCCCCGTGCTCCCGGTCTGCCCTGTGGGTGCTGGGCAGTACCGCGGAGCCTGCGAGGCTCCTTCATGATGGGGCTGTGGGAGGCAGAGCTTGGCTCAGAAGTGGGGGATTCTGTGTCAGCACTTCTGGACTGGGGGCTCACTCCAGCCGCGTGCTGGCTGTGGGGTGTCCTCCCCCCAGTAGGTCTGGGTATTGATGGTGATCGTTGTGTCACGAGGTATCGTGAGGGATGATGGGGGGATGCCGGAGGAGGTGCGTTGTGGACCATAAAGCCCTGTAAGGCTGGCTGTCATTGCCGTCACTTTCTGTTGCTTGGAGAACTGTTAGTGATACATAGTAGCTTTCAGTGCACTTAGCCAGAATGATAGAAACGGAAATGTGAAACTTCTTTGGCAGTGTTTACTCCCAACAAAGCCTTTTTAGTTTTTTTTTGGAATAGGAAGATTTCGTTTGCTCTTCTTTTCCCTCTTAAAGC